CTTCTGCTAAAACGTCTCTTGTCCTCTCCTCTGTGTAAACAGGCTGCAGTTTGGTCAAAATTTCAACAAATTTTTGTCATGTGACTGTTGGTCTCAGCTGAGTCATTAATGGCTTCCTAGTTGCACTGAGGAGTGCAGAATTTAATGTTTTTTACGGGACCTGATCAGTGCAAATAGTTATTTTTTTGGTGAAATTTTAAACAAGACATGTAGAATAAGGTGATTTTGAGATCTGAGCTTTTTTTGGTATTCATTCTTAATTTCTCCCTGCTATTTAGGATTAATAGGCGTATTAAAAAACAAACTATTGTCTTTGGACAGTGAGTAGTTTCTAAAAAAAAAAAAAAATGATGTCCTCATATGATGACATTGGGTTTGTTTTTATAAAACTGTTTATTTCAATGCCTTAACATGGCTGATCAAAAACAAAACTACAAACAGTTTAACATTTGATTAATGTTTCATAACTCTATGAGGTAGTGGTCACTGTTCACATTTAAAATGGTTCATAACTTCATTTCAATCCCTGAACATGGCTGAGCAAAAACTAAATTGCAAATAATGCAACATCGTTAAGAAAACTTGTGATTTGTTTTTGTTGTAAGTCTGTATAAATTTTCCTTGAAGAAGACACAGTCTGTCACTCCTAATCTGCTTGTGATCTGCTTGTGTGATATAATAATAAAGTCCCAATGTCCTCAAATGAGTACTTCCTAACTAACAGCGTCTTAGCTTGTTGCTCCTGCTAAAACTGGTGAAACTTGTTGCCATATCAAACTACAAATGTCCAAGACATCCAAGATGTCCAATTTTGTGACTTTGCAGAGATGGCTGCCATCTTGTTTTTACATGGATTAGTGTATTGCGCTTTTGCTACCAATAGATGACACAATTTTTTTTCCCTGAATGAGGACAGCAGGTCTAAGTTAAGAAGAATGAAGTATTACCCCCAATTTCCACATACTACGTCTGCGCAGCGTAGCACAGTGCAGCGCGTAGCAGATACGCATCCCATTCTAGTGAATAGCTTCATTTCCACAGCGAGTGCCGCGCAGCATCTCTGGAGTGTCCCAAGAGTGGCACAGCGCTCCACTTTGTCAGAGATATGCGCCAGGTCTATTTTTCAGTGACTGCGCGTCCATTGCACGTCAAGCCACGAAGCTCAGATCGCACCAAACCGGAACACACACAGCATCTGGTAAAACACAACACAATGCACGGACTACGGATTGTAAACTCTCAATTTTTTTTAAATCACGTCACATCCTGCCGCACACGTTGTCAGTCAGTGCGAGGGTCCGAGGAAAGGTGGACGAGGAGTAACTCATAGTTGAAGTGGAAAACCATAGTATTTTGTATGACACCACACATCCTTTCTACAAGGATACAAATGGAAAGGAGAAGACCTGGTGTGAAATTGCAGGAGTTTTGGGAGTGAATGCTTTTTATCGTGTGATTTTGCAGTTTCCACGTGTGAGCTTGCAGCTCTGCTACATGGCGTGGCGCTCCAGAAACGCATCCAGTAGGCGAGGGAATGCGCGTCGGTCGCTCCAGATCCACGGCACTGTGTAGCGCAGCACAGACAGAGTATGTGGAAATTGGGGGTAAGGTGCAGCAAACCCAAAGTGTGATGTGTTGTGAGGACGCAGGGTCACAGGAGGTAAAAATTCACTATTTTAATCTCAGATTTGATTTTGTTTGAATGTGGAAGCATTCATTGTTGTGTTCCACGATCGTCTGAAATTTGAAAACTCCAATGATCATTTTTGTTTTTACAGTTTCTGGTTATGACTAATGGGTTTTTTTTCTTTGTTTTTTTTTTTTAAGAAAACATGCCTTTCAAACCAGCTGGCAGGTTTTGGGGATCAGGAGCAACTAGGCCAAGCGGCAACATGTCAGTTATTGGCTTAATTTTTTTTCTTCTTTAGGTTGTTAATTTTATTTATTTACAAAGAGAACTGATCGGCAGACCACAGTTGGCCCTCAGGCCGCCAGTCAAATAGCGGCAATGGCCTTCATGTGAAACAGACCTTTAGTTCCATTATCCCTTGTTTTATGAGTGTAGTTAAGGACCCTGATGAGAAAGCTCCAGAACAAAAACACTAAATGGGCCTTGAGTTAACTGTTAATGCGCAAAACTTTACCCCCTAATATTTTAGTCATTTTTCCGGTTAAATATCTTCCTGTTTTCTGCTCTGCACCTGTAATTTGCTGCCAAAACTCCACACTTCCTCCATCTTCATAATTCAGGATAATAACAAAAGCGTCTGTCAATTGTGATCACCACTACTGGTGTAAAAGAGACCTTAAAACTTACAGTAAGACTGAGGTACTGTTGGACTTTTTCCCGGTCGTACAAGTACTGTCATATTTATGTGTCTGTTCCTGGTGGTAACAGAAGGTAAAATAGTAATAAATACTAAGTTTGTAATATTAATGAGGCATAAAGAGCTACTAGCAGCAGCGCTGTGGCCTGCAGGCAGCTGAGTGGTCTGTGTGTTTGTATGAATTCATCAGAGTCAAGTGTTGGTCTCAGCTGGCCGCGGTGTTAGTCTTTGTTTGGCCTTGAGTTGAATACACACATACTTAAGAGCCTCTGGCTTATCAGGTCCCTGTTGTCCTAATTACAGATGCCTGTTGTATATTAAACGCTCTGCATGATTCAATTTATCAGCCGCATTGATGATAGCATTCTCCCTGCTAATGACCGTAGACTTGCCACAGATAACCTTGACCAGAGCTGCAACATCACACTGGAAGGATGATTCTCACATACAGTAAACTACTCAGCTTTTACTGTGGGGTTTGGTCCAAGCCTCAGGCATTCAGGCTCTATCTGCTGCTATCTGATTTTGTTTTATTTCATTATTTTTTTCAATGATGATTCATATCTATTCTTGAATTTGACCCATTTCCCAGTACAGGATATTGGTCCCAGTACAGGATATGGGGTTGTTCTGCATCACTGTTACAGACAGTGTTACAGACAGAAAAGAACAACTGTAAAACAAAAAGAAACAGTTTTTTTCTTATGTAACCTCGTTTCAGTTACAATGTAAGATAAGACAGATTAACCTCAGCCTAAATATAAATCTAGTGTCTTTAGATTCCCGTCTGCTGTTCTCCAGCCGCAGCTCATGACAGAGTGAAATATCTCAACAGCTGTTGATTGGATTGTCATGAAATTTTCCACACATTCACCTGATGATGAATCCTAACTTTTGTGATCCACTAAATTTCCTCTTCAGTGCCATAATCAGATCAAATTGAAAATTGTCAACATTGCTTTATGACCAAATATCTGCAAACTAACACAAATACATTCCTGTTTCAGCTGTACTTTGTCTGTGCAAATTAACTAATGCTGGCATGCTAACAGGCTAAATTAAAATGGCAATGAAGGTAAACATTATGCCTGCTGAATAGCAGCATGTTAAAAGGCACTTTACGGATAATATGGGTCAGTTTACCAGGAGGATAGCATATAGCATATTTTTAATCTGTTTTTTGCAAATCTACAACTTCATGGAAGTGCAATGTTAGCATGTTAGCATGCCTTTGTTAGCATTTAGATAAACCGTGTCTAAGTAAAGCACCACTAGGCTACTTTCATGGCTGTAGAGTCTTGAACCTGGTATACACCGTGTGATTTTGGGCTGTCCCAGACAAAAGATAACCAATGTGAAAGAAAGTGGATGATGTCTTTGGTCCTACGTCACACAGTGAGAGAGGTTCAAGGATGGCCGTTGTCACGGTCTTGCGATCAAAGACAGCCTGGGATAAAATTCTGGCAGATATTTGGGATGACCATCTCACTGTGTGACTGCTGTTAGCACCTACGTCTACTAACCAACCAATAGAAACGCAGCATGAAATGACACACTGGCACTAAACCAAACAAACAGACAGACAGCAGCTTGCCATGGAGGCAAAACGCACTAAAAGAAATGTGTGGGATTCCAGCAAAGAGGAAAACTTGTCAAGCTTTGCCTGTATGATGTGTCCTGCAGCTCTGACCATGATCATGATAAAGAAGGACGAAGCATGAAAGGAAATAGAGGCGGAGCTACAGCTGCCAGGTGAGACACCTAGCAGCTAGCAAACAGACACACTGCAGTATATAGTGACCACGGAACATTAGGTTATTTAATAATGTGAGCCTCTGTGTTGTGCTTCACAGTTGGAGAAGTAAACCTGTGCAGCATCACTCAGTATGGGAGGCTGTTGCATTGTGCGTCTGTGATTCAGTAAGCGCTGTCATCGTACAGTCTGCATCATCAGACATCAAGTTTATTAGATCCATGTCGCACAGTGTACATAGCTACACTAAACTTATAAGGTTGCTAAAATCTCACAGTCTGTAGGAGGATTTAGTCTTTAGTTTTTCTTCCAGCTAGCTGTTGGTTTCCATTATTCCCCATACAATATAAAAATCAATGTGCAGAGACTTTAAACTTACAAGTTACATTAGCGGAGGGAGGAAAAACAGCAGAGAATTTCCAAATCAGTCTGCATTTATACCTGCATTATAAAAGCAGACATGATGTTTACTGTGATTGATTAGTTTTAAAGATGTGGAAGAGAGTTAACAATCTTATTAAGTGCTGTGAGATGTTAATGGAAACTAATGCGTGTATCTGTATTACTGTACAATCGGCATCAGTCCCTTTGCACATTGTTGTTTCGTATTTTTGGGTTTAAGTCTTTATGTTCATTGTTTTATGTGTGTTCTTGTCAGTTTTTTGTTGTTATAATTTATTTTTATATATATATATGTGCTTCCATAGTCAAAATATTGCATCGTCATAGTAAAAAAACAGTAAAATATAGAATAAAAGAAAGAAGTAACCATGAGAGACAGACATGACAGCTTTGGAATGAGATTTAGAAGCTGCTGAGTGTGTATGAAGCCAACATGTTAATTGTCCTTCCCGTCCACACATTATAAGGACATCTATCATCAGGTTAGCAGCTGCAGCGGGTACAGAGAATATCTTTACCTCTTATTGCCCTCAGGCGAGCTGCTGCATCTGCTCTGACTCGCTCTGGGCCAACGTGGGACTGTCTTTGTCACTTTGATTTCACCTTCAGCCTAAAAAGACACATCAGAGGAAGACACATGTTTACTCGATGTTTTTTTCATTTCTGAACTGTTTATTGGCGCTGTGGTGCAGGATGTATCAGAGGCCATATGGAGGATTAATAGTAGCAGCTCTGACTCTGCAGTATCAGCACCTGTGTCTCTTTATGGACACCATAAAGAATTCTGTCATTAAACCTCAGAGTAGAAAATGTCTGATCCTCGTTAGCAAAACAATCACAGAAAACAGCCTGAGGTTCATGAGGAAAGTCGTAATTTGACAAAGTTAACAAGATCTTTAAAGTTTTTCTGCGAAGAGAAAAAACAGGTTTTAGTTCATAGGTCATCAGGAAACTTTATTTTCAGACGTCGCCCCCTACAGGAGACAAATTCACAGACAATGCACTAAACTTCTAAAAAACTTGAACGCACAGCCATGACCTGGTTTAAAACTCTGGGAGGGTTTTACAAATTATGAGTGACAATAATTTGATCTCTGTGTCTAACTCACAGTCGGAGTGTTTAGCAGCAAGGAACTGCAGCACAGATCTTGATCGTCTATGTTTTAACCTCTAAGCGAGGGAGGTGCTTCATAAACTAAATTGTAATAGAGTACACAGATAAATGTGGATGTGTGGAACACAAATGTCAATGACAATTTTGGCGCTTTGAGCACCAGAAGCCGAGTGCAGTCTAGTTCCATTATCTTGGAGAGAATGCAGACATTTCTACGGCCGATATCTCCAGCCCTTGGCAACGTACACCAAAACTATCTCGATTGATAAACAGCACAACAGGTAATAGGAAAATATGTATTTTTCATTTCAGGGTAAACTGTCCCTTTAAGTGTTGGAGCACCTGACATCTTCATCTTTAACTTCACATATGATTGTGGCTAAAAGTTCAGTGTGTATTTTAACAAACTGAAAAACTCACTGGCATCCTTAAAAAAAGGAAACAGCACGTTGGCTGCATGTTGTGCACCTGGCTCAGGTATACATGTGTTCCAGCCTGATGTGTAACCGTACGTACCCTGGGCATAGTGAGGACCAGGTGTCCCGTGGTTTGGGACCTCTGAGCTGTCGAGCTGTCGGGCTTCACTTCAGCAGGCAGAACCATCTGAAATATCTGCAGAGTAAATTATTCACAACTTTAATTAGCAAGATTAATGCGCTGATCTGGCACCGCCGCTGTCCCAGTGTGTTAAATGACTTTAATCATTACTGGGCCTTTTTATAGGTACACTTTCCAGAAAAGACGTGGGAGAGTGACCAGAATAGCTCCGACCGAGAACAGCAGCAATGAATCACCGCAGCGAAATCCTGTGGAAACCAAAATGATCCACGTGGGAGGAATAATGGGCGTAAAATTAGACTTTTTCATTTTTCAATCTACTTTTATTTGATTCTGAGAGGGACTTTAGGGAAGACCGTTCAAACAGCAGGCAGAGAAGAAAGAAAACTCTGTCCTGTTAACTCCTCTGCAAGCCCTGCTGCTGTCAGATGTGGCGAACTTGATATACACAGCCACAGATGAGTCCGACAGCCAATTCCCCCTGCTCCTCTAAATGAGTTAATATTTAGAAGGAATTTTAAAGGCCTGAGTTGATGTATCACTGTGTAAATCACACCACCCGTCCAATCAGGCTGACCCCTGGCATAAAACAACCATCCATAAATACGCTAACAGCTTGAAGAGGAGCGATGACATTCAAGAACTCCGAACCTGCAGGGCTCTGTGTTTATGATTTGTTTGCTCGAGGGAGGAAACAGGAACAGAAACAAACAAAAAAAAGATTAAATCTCTTGGATTTATGTGTGGCCAAACAGCTGTTTGACCAGGCTCAAAGGTTGCTGTGGTTTGTTCGTGGGAGATTAAAATTTCCTTGGTGTTGCTGAGGAGAGTATGGTGAACTCAGCTGGTTAAACAACACGTCAAGCAACAACCATGCGTACACCATTTCCTACACATTGAAGAAGAATGCGCTGTGAGCAAGTGCAAACATCAGACTTCAGACCAGCGTTTATGAGAGCCACACAACGATGGCATCTCTACTCCCTAAATATACACGTTACAATGGGGTCTGATCGCCAAAGAACTTCTTAGTATTCATCTTACACTATTGTTCACCCTAAAAGATAAGTCTCTCCTGATTTTACTGGCATCTAACCGAGACCAACGTCTATTTGTCAAAATGTGTAGCCACACCTGGTTAGTACAACGGACTCTGCATTTCATTGGAGCTCGGCTTTTAATTGAAGTTTTTATGGTAGCCAAAATCTTGAATGTTTTGGTGGCATCTCAGCACGCTGAACTGCTGACTCTGTCAAATACACCACACAACCCCAGTGCAAAAAGGATCGAATGCAGGTATCGTTTGACTGGAGACATATCGGGTTATTTCTATCCATACCTTAAAGGTATCGAGTACTGAAACCATGCCATACTGAAAGGGCTGTCTGACGGCAGGGTTAAGAGGTGAAAATATTCTCCATATAGCGTACACTTAAACCAATATAGATCATTTTAGGTGGCCAAAATATGTCCTGCTGCTGCCCTGTCCACAGCAGTACATTGCTTAGTTTCTGTGGTGGCACTCCAGCCTGCTTCTCCAAACTGGATTTGACATGAACTGTAATAAACTGGAGCTTCTGTGAAACAACATGAGCCTCATCCATTTCAAATCAACATTAGTTCTTTTGGTGAAAGTAACGCAAAAGTCCACACAGAGAGTAATACTGTAAAGTAACTGATTACTTTCAAATGAAGTGTGATGAATGAATGAATCTATGTGGCGGACAGAACGTGACTGCATATTTCTGTCTTAGTTTTAGTCGTGAATCTACAGTCTTCTGCATCTGGCCCCCAGAGGTAACCTGTATTTACGATGACATGCAGAACTGAGCCTCCCTTCACAATAAGCCACAGTCAGACTTCAGCAGATCTCACGCAGAGCGAGAAATGAACACCTGACACCAGATAAATACTCAGCTTCTGTTGACACTGAATCTCCCACTTCTGGCAGGTAACTTAGGTTGTATTTTATTTAATCGAACATCAACACTTCGGATGATCAATTTCGTATTTACCAGAGAAAGAGCGTGGCGGTCTTTCCCCGGACAGCTGACATTTTGCGGAAAAAAACACAAGTCTGAAGTTCACTGCCGGGAAATGACTTTGCAGCAGGTGTAATAAACTCTCTCCATAAACGTATCAGAATGTCAGAGTCAGAAACACGTGTGATGATTCAGCAGCTTCTGACAGCCTTTTATTTGCTCTAAATCTGAGTCCTCATCCATCACACTTCTCTCTGCCCCCGACTCAGCAGCAAGCATCATCTTCATGAATTCACAGCAGCCTGTAATCAATGACTCACTCCGCACTGTTGACAAATTAGTATAGTAGGAAGCAGAGTGTGAAAACATGAAGATAAAAGAGGAACACTGAGATTTTAGACGAATAAAAAGAGCAGCTGAAGGACTTCCAGCCAAAAGTATTGCTTTTGTTTTATCACCTCTTGAATTATTCAGCACTGTGAAGTTGTTACGACTGAGCTGAAAGCTAATTTTGGAGCCGGCATGACCCCTTATATTATCAATGGACAAATGTAAGTGGAGGTGAACAGATGCAAATTTACCTGGGGCAGCACAAGTGATCGAGCTCAAACGAGCAACCTGCAATCCTCACCACTAGATGGCACTACATTTGCCTAAATCAAACACACTGAACCTTTAAGTGAGAACATGTTCAACCCACTTGTGCACATCTTCAGCTCGCTCCGAGCACCACAAGTGACGTCTAGTTCCATTATCCTGATAAACAGCACTACAGGTAAGAGAAAAAATACGTATTTTTGTATTTTGGAGTTGACTGTCCCTTTAATATCTGTGCTGGTGTCGGCGAGGGCTTTGGTTTGAATCCCTTAACTGGCTGGATTCCTTGCCAACTAATGTCGCAGTGCCCTTGAGCAAAGACCTTCACTGGCTGACAGCAGCAGTCTGTGGTTAAACTGGCCACCTTCCAGTATGACTGTGTGGGGAATGAAACTGAGCCTGCAGCTCTGAGGACTTTTCCTGAAGAAACACAGATTGAATACAAATATTCCAGAAAGATTTTCTGTCAGCAAACTGAATTATGGCGCAAAGGAGCACTGCTTTATCTTTGTTTTGTTTTCTTTGTTTTTTAAAGACTTTAAGGTAAATTCTTAGACACTGTGGAGGCCTGCCTCAGAAATGAGTCAGCAACATTCTGACCTATAAACTTTAAGAAGTGAGTCTAAATCTCTGCTGCTGCCCTTTAGGATGTTAAAAAAAAACCTGAGTTAATGCATTTGCTGGAAAGAGTGTGCAGACAAAACAGTGCTGAGGAAAAACTTAAAATGAAGTGTTGCTAATCCTAAAGGTTACAAACTAATCTTAAAATCCCCACAGCTTACCTTTCCTTTGACGGAGACTCTGGCGTATGTTGGCTGAACATCTACATCGATCAGAGAGGTGTCCATGTGTCTGTGAGAGGGGTGGAGGTAGAGGTCCAGGTCAGTTTGTATACACACACACACAGGTGTAGTGGTGTCTGTAGTCTACATGGATCAGCTTGAGCCATGAAGCTGAGCTGTAGAGCAGCAGTCTGACTGAACCGGGTCTCTAAATGTTTCAAACTACCAACATGATAGTTGTTAAGTTTCCAATTTGAACTTGCAGAGAGTTCTTACAATCATTTACATCAGTTGGATTGGATGTGACTGCAGCTCTACATCAATCAAGTCAATTGGTGTGCTGCTGACACTTAAAATTAACGTGACGCTGGTTCTCAGGAGCTTCCTCTATGCAAACAACAAACACACGAGAAGGAAACAACCACAGACACAAAGCTAAACACAAAGAATAAAGAAATAAACCACAAATGGAGCCACTCTGTAAACAAGTGGGTAACTTTGACACAGCTGAATGAACCAGAGAATTTGTGGGCCTGTATCTCTGCAGCGGCTTAAACTTCAGTCTCTCCAAATAAACTTGTCTTGCAAGAGCACAAATATGGGTAGATACAAATAAAATATCATTTCTACTATATTGATAAATGAAGCTGTTGAGAGTTTGAGCTCATTCTTTCATACCTGTACACTTCCAAGTTTAAGACAATGGTGTTATTTTCTTCATCCTCAGTTAGAGAGAAGTCGAGCCTATAAAAGGACACAAAGACGAAAAATATAAAACTGGTCCAGCTGCAGAGCTACAAACACTTTTATTTAAATCTTTACAGGACTACTGAAACCCTAAAATGATTATTTGTGTGTCAGTTACTCACTCTGTGTCAGGCTGAATTCAGGTAAAAAACGTATTCAGGAAGAAAACTGTTTTTTTCTTAAAGCATGAACGCATTCAACAACAGCAAAACTATACCAAAACTTCCGTTTACAAACTCTCACCCAACTCGTGCAGTATAATCAAAGTCTCACTTATCCGATGGTATGCTTGGTACTTCACAAAACACACGCATTTTCTCTAAAGCCCAGTTCAGACCAAAGATTCGCAACAAGACTAGACTCAACAACTCTCTGTCCTTCTGATCTGTAACGTTGACAGGAAGTGACCACGATGAGACGGTGTATCATCTCTAGTCAACGACTCTCAATTCTCCTTTTTAAGAACCTGATGTAAACTTTTATTGTGACCTTTCCTAAAAACAAATTTAAGAATAAACAAAGGAAGATATTGGTGAATGCCCACTGTGTTTCAGCAGTATCAATCTGGAGAACATGACTTTACAAGCCATTCATGTTACATATTAACAGCACAGACGTGATGTTTTGACTGTTGCTGCCCAGGCTGCAGTGAACCTTACTGTCCTGTCTCCCTGCTGATGTAAAGTGATATATCATAGAAAAGATACATTCCTGACCTGACTGTGTCCTCAGCTCAGATTACAAATGAAATCAGCTGTGTTTTTAAGGCCTCGACCCCCGTGGCCTTGCTCTGGATATAAACCTCTGGCTAATGGAGGGAGACCGGGGTGGCCCACAGCTATCAGGTTGCCCCCCAGCACGCTGCTGTAGAGCTCCGATGGCAGGCGAGCCAATCCAGTGCCAGAGATCAAGAAACGAAGGCTGCTAATAAAGCAATCATGCGGCACCTGGTAGCTTTTTCCCTGCCTCGCTGTCTGAGCAGTTTGACCAGGCGCAGGAGGAGGTAATCAAGGGTTTGAAAGAAAACACATTACGGTTATGAAGAACTGTGAAGGGAAACTATGTGAGAGTGGAGCTGTGTTTTTATGTAATATCTTTGCTGAAACAAAATTGAAGCAGTTGATTGGATGTGTTTTGTTGTTCTGGCTGAACAGAATGAGAACCAATTATGTTGCTTTCTGCTGCGTCGGCTGCTGTAGCTGAGTGGATTGGTCGATTTCCTTCACAGTCAATCACAGGTGGTAGAACTGTGCCACTGCAAAATAACTACACTACTGAGATGAGGCGTTACCAGTGGGGGAAGTATCCTTTATGTAAGTTAAAGTACAAATACATCAGTAGAAAAACACTTTCTTACAGTAAAAGCCCTGCACTGAAAATGTTCGTTTAGTGAAAGTATGTCAGTATAATCAGGAAAATATAGTTAGAATATTAAAAGTATATAATAGAATGTAACAAAAGTGAAGAACGAAAGAAGAAAATGTTTCTGCAGAACACATACCTAAGGTTACAAACATAAGGTTGGAAAAAAGAAATGTTCCTTTAATTACTTACAAAACCTGCGTTATCACAGGTTTCAGTCTGTTGATAGAAAATGTTTACTTTGGCTCGTTGACGTTCATGACTCGTCCATCAGCAGTGATCAGCGTCCTCGGGGCCTTCGGCTTCTTCTCTTTCTCCCTGCAGAAAAACAGCAAAGCATGAGTAGACTGTAGTGTGCGTGTGCGTGTGTGTGTGTGTGTGTGTGTCTGTGTGTGTGAAAAATGGGTGGACCGACAGACGACAATAGCCGAGTGATGAGGTCCTTGAGGTGAAGGAGAGAGCCACTTCTTCTCTAAGAGCGTCCATAAAAAGAGAAGCAACAGATAATGTGCAGAGGTTTTACTGTAGGACACACACTTTTACACACACATAAAGCAACACACACTATGGTTCCACCGGTTTACGGTTTGAAACATTTTAAATGGGTCACAGAAAAACAAGGATAATGGAGAGTAAATTTGGACCTAATTCGTTTGATGAAATGCTCCACATGATGTTAAATAATGTCGCCTCTGTGCCGATTTATCTCTAATGACTCACACCACACACAAGCTCGTGTTCTCCTGTCCGAGGAGAGCGTGAGTGTGGTGATTCATCAGGCTTCCAAAATTTAACCAAGGTTAATTCTGGCGTGTTGTTTTCTGAAAATATCTCTGCATGTCCAGCAGAAATAAGGCCCCCATTTGTAACCCAGCTCCACTCTGTATCGGGGGAAAATCATTAGTGTCACTAACACACAGCTCAATCTGGATTAGAAAGAAAGATGATGTCCCCGTACATCTAAAAACTGATCGGTGGAATGTTTGTTGCAAACATCAGTCAAAGAGCACAACATCACACCTGTTTGAATCACTGAAAAGTCTGAGATGTGGACTCAGTCGTGTATTGGCAGAGAGAACTGATGCTGAATGCATGATTTATGCTTGGTGCGTTCGTGAGGGTCACGAGTGTTCACATTTCAAGTGACATCACACCATTAGCAAGTCCCTTTGTGGTATCCTGGGTTTGCATCTGACCATGCACATCCAACATTTTCTAACTCCACGGATGTGGTTGAGCAGAGAACTTGGGAAAACCATGCTGTAGATGTGTGTTTTCGATACTCTGCCCCCTACAGTTTGGGAGGATATTGGTTGGTTGCACTGAGGAACCAGCATCAAGCGTAAGGTCCCAATCACACAGAAAGCTTTTGCATGTTGCAAAACACAAGGCGCACCGGACTGCCTTTTTTTTGTTTTTAACTGAATGCCACTAGTAACTAAATGCTTGCTGCACCAGTATATTGTTGCCAGGCAACCATTCCATCAACTCCTTACCTCAACTTTCCTGTGTAATTAATTTATGCTTTATTTTCATCTATTTATTTCACAGTAGTGAGTAGCTCGTAACTGAAATGGACAGGTAGAGGGTACTGGCTGTGGCTCTGGTTGAGGGTGAGAGGCAAATAGTTTGTTGGGCACAGGGAAACAGAGGGTCCATGAGACCCTAAAAAAGAGGCTGGATCGGGGGGGGAGTACCACCAGTTGGTCCAGGAGCTTCGTCTCCATGATGGTCATTTCAAGTACTGCACTTTCATGCTTCCACACCTGCTGTTTTCCATTGAGATGGTGGTAACTGCTGTCTGTAAAGTTGTACAGCTCTGGGTATCCAGCAACCACTACCACCAGTTTCTCCTCCATTGTACCAACTGTAAACTTGTTGTTGTGGCCACCACAGAAGGCCCACCTATCAAATCAACTGATTGGACAACTTGAAAAAAGGGTGGAATGATGATGTGGGGCACTTTTCCGCTTAAAGTTGAAGTTTTTTTCTACTCAAGGAATTTATAGCGCTCCAGCAAAAACAGCAGCACAGAAACACAAGGTGCGTAGCCTACGCAAAGACACCAAGCAAAAAGCTTCATTCTCATTAAAAACAATTATGAAAAGCCGCCTCCAGCTGCTAGAACTGTGCAATCGGGACCTAAAAGATCCAAAAGTTCCCTCCTCATGATTCTACTACAAGCTAATGCCCATGCAGAAATCATACCTGAGGCTTAAACCAGTGGCTCCAAACCTTATGACCAACTGTAAATGAAGCAAAGTCTTCAGTGCAACACCCGCCATGTCACAGGTTGTCATCCACTGAACATACCAGGCAGAAAAAGTAGCCTGTATGTGTTAATTTAGGAAGTTAATGCCATGAAATTGCTGCTATTCTGGATGTTGACAGGCATCTATGATTTTTTTAATCATTTGGTGACCCCTCAGATTGATCTTGGGGCCCCTTGGGGGGTTGTAGTCCCCACTTCAGAACCTCTTGGTTTGGACTAAAAAAATGAAGCCACCATAAGGCCCAATCCCAATACCCCCCTTGCCCACTACCCCTTGGCCCTCAAAATGAAGCAACGAGGGGTAGGGGTTGAAATCTTTCCCTGGGAACTGGGACACCACTCACTACGTCACCGCGTCGGTTACGTTCACGCATACGTAACTATTTTAAACAGGAAGCTGCGAGCCATCTACATTTCCAACCGGCATCTACAATGGAGTCTCCAGTTGAGTTCATCCTACCGAACGCGTTTGCCACATTCATCATGCTTCGTTTGATGAACAACAGACAACAGGGGACTTCTGCTAGCTAGCTAAGCAACATTACGAGGCAGCATAGTTATACTAGCTGGCGTGTTATCGTAATGTGAAAAGCCCGACAATTTTGCAGAACAGGACAGATGACAGGCGCCAGATAGTGCGAGCTAGCTAGCTAGCTAACAAGCAGCCTGACGACGGTAACGTTAGCTATGTATGAACTTTTTTCCCCGTCTCTTGCTTGGTGGTAGCCATGGCGACGTCTACCCCTCGCTGGCAAGTCAGCATCTGAAATCCCTCGCTCCAAAGGGCTAGTTTCATACCCACTACCCCTCGTTATGACCCCTACCCCAACACGCAAAAAGGAATTAGGACACCACTACCCCTCGCGGGAACGCGCAAATGTAGGGGTAGGGCCAAGGGGGGGTATTGGGACGGGCCCTAAAAGTGCCACTAACTACAGTTCCCCTTATGGCCACTTGAGGCTGTCACTCCCCACAAACCCTCGTGTTTAAGTACCAAACGTTACAGTAGAAATAAATTTGTCTACAGCCTGGTACAAAAAATGGTTTTGGTCCCTATGGGTGATTTCTCTGTTCATGACAACTGTGCAGGGGGTGAGCATACTGACTGACTGATTGTTGTTGGTTCCACTATGCTGATCTGCATGATGTTAATGTGAGAGGCACTTGGTTAAGTAGCTTTATAAAATCAATAAATCAATTAGAAAAGATAAATAGTTGTTACACATCATTTTGAGGTTTTACAACTTGACAAAGCAACACCAGAAAGAAATGACTCATAAAATCCTCCCTCCCATCTCTTAGCATTTTAAAGACTTCTGAAAGATTGATTTAAGACTTTTTGATACCAATTACAGCCTTATTGTTACATTAATGAATTCAATGCCTTTTAAGACTTTAAGGATCTGCGGGAACCCTGCTGCTCTCATTGGTCAGTGTTTCCGGGTCATCCGTATCTCAGCGTCCCTGCACCATCATTGCAGCCGTCCTAAACACAAGTGGACATGTTACAGCAGGAATGTGATCCGAATTCAGAGAGAAATCAACAACATCAGCAATCAAGATTACATGTTTCTCTGACGTTAGCAAGCTTTATGTATGTAGCAGTGCAGGTTACGTAATGTAAGCACTTGCAGTAGCGTGCCTGAAACCTGTCACGAGCTGACGTCAGCTTGTAGCCAAAGTAAAAAACGGTGGAAACAACAGTATTCACAACAGTCTGAACCCTGAGGTTTTTGCTCACAGAGATTACTTGTGAGCATTTATTTGAAACTTTGGCCACGTTTAACAGGAACATCCAACGCTGTAACATTGTCTATAAGACAGAAAAAAAGGTCCCCTTTAAACTGAAGCCACTCAGAGCCTTTTCCTTCAGACCACCAGCTCTAAGACAAATGGGCCACTGTATTCTCACCACCATCTGCTGAACAACCCGTCCCTCCATTACCCACATGAAGCAGGCCGTGACAGCAGCACAGGCAGGGAAACACTCATTTCACGTGCATCTATTAAGCTCACTCAGCAGCAGGTGAATGAGTCGGCGGTCAAGGCAGGATGGTGTTTAGCGCTCTGCAGAGGGTCGGCCATCATGACCTCTCTGCGGTCGTGCATCAGTAGCAGAGAGGAGGAGGAGGAGAAGTGTGACAGCGTGTTCAAAGAGCCTTCAATCTGCTGAACTCAAGGATGTTTATTAGAGCAGAGGGCTGCAGAGAGACCTGTAATGAGTTTAAGTGGTGCTGTGGAGCCGAGCGGTCAGACGAGGCACTAACACTTCCTGGGTTAACAGGTCCATTACCACTGTGGTCGTTCATGTTAGTCACACAGACAGTCAGACAGCAAGGGGGAAGCAGGACGCTCAGGTAGTCTTCCTCACATTCTAATCATGCAAGAGGTGAAACAGGATGTGTGTTTGTCTCGAACCAGTACAGATAACACACACAGTTCAATGCGACCTGTGAACCAAAGAATTTGTTTTCGTCACTGTCCATGAGCCAAAGTTTGAGTGCTGTCATTTTCACATTAAGAATTACATCAAAGCGCAAAGCCCTCACTTAAGCTTTATATTAGGGCTGTCAAAATAATGCATTAATTTGGATTATTAATGACAGAAAAATAATGCGTTAAAAAAATTGACGCTGATTAATCTAGGCCACGATGGCTTGGTCACATGATGGAGGCAGACAAGACGACGCTGCTTGGCCTCGTGAATGGTACATTTACATTTAAAAAACACCCAGATGAAGTGTTGGTAAGAGCATCCTCTGCCATTTCTGCATTAAGGAATTTCGTACCATTGGAGAACTTAAAGCCTGAAATATCACCTCAACGTAAAGCATTTAGCAGCGAACCCAGGTGTTCCCAGCTGTTGTTTCTGTTTGTGAAATACACGTGAAGACTGTCAGCCATAGTGTGTATGTGTGTGTGTATGTTTGTGGGGATAAGTTGGGGTGAGACAGAGGGCAAGTATCCACTTCCAAGTATCAAACCAGAGGGATCATCCCCATCGCTGTGCCTCCCGGTTCAAACAGCAGCTTTTCCCTCCATCTCA